CAATTCTGACCACGAGCCAAAACAAACACCTAGTATAGCCTTTAGTTCATTAAATCAATACAAACGCTACTGTACTGACTTCAGATAATCTTCAGTCCAAGATGGCAGCGTTTATATCCAGAATATTTAGACCTCATTTCTGGATAGTGGGAGGAAGTGAAGATGCATCGTCCATCTTTATATATAGTCTATTGGTAAAATCTATATAACTTGTGTTTATGAACTAACCCAGGCTGCAGCAGTTTATTTCCATGGTGCACTAATTTACAGCCGGTGTCATCTGTTCAAGCCTGGAGTCACGCTGCAGATGCACCCAGCTTAACAAATTGAGCAGAATCACCTGAATGCACCATTAAACAACCGACCTGCTCACTGTGATTTATGGAACATGAGATAAAGTGTGAGTCCTATCAAGGATACTCTGCATGTGTTCTCCAAATGCAGGAAGAAAAACTGCATTTTTCCTTCATGGGAAATCTTTTAGAATAGAAAGGAACTTGTTGACCTGTTTGTGGACTTCAGAAGATCCTGTGTGACCATACCATGCAGCCCCAAGTGTAAATGTGCTTTATGTAAAGAGACGTGCTGTTGGGAAATAGCGCAATGCTTTGTCAACCTCCTATCAATGAATAAAGAGGGAAACGCACACAAATAAATCACATATAAAAATTATGACTTTCACATTTCCCATCGCTGGGTTTGACCTGACTCCCCTCGCTGTGACACTCTATCACCTGACTATGCAAACCAACCCTGCTGCGAAGACGAGACACCTCCAACATTTATCTCTCTGCCTCTACCGCTCATCCGCACGTATTCATAAACACATGAGACACCTCAGATCGTTTATCAAGGACGCCGCAAGGTCATCCCCATGTGGCCGGGATCTAATGCGCCGCTCGTCGCCTGAGTTGCCTCTTCTTTGTCTTTGGGGCAGAAAAGCAGAGGAGCTGCAGCGCTGGCCCTCAAAGAGACTCCAGTCCTCCCCCTCCTCCTCCTCTACCTCCTCCTACAGTGGCACCATAGATCAACCTGAAGGTGACAGAGCCTCAGATCAAGAGGACGTACGATCAAACAGTGTGTGTCACATCTATCCACTGTGGACACTGCAACCTACTATTGATTATCTGTGGTGTGGGAGTGACTTGCTCAAGCACACACACACACACACACACACACACA